ATACATGGTCGTTTTTTTCGCCTAAAAACGCCTTCTTCGACAGATCGTAGTACACTAAAGCTCATCAGTTGCTTTTAAACGGCCTTGTCAGTCGCCTCCCTAATCGTCCTGTGCCACCACCGTTTAATTCCCACCTCACGTTTGGCTGACCGCGTGAGAGAAGGACTAAAGAGGGCCCTCTGCTAATCCAGTCTTTCACCCCCCGCCCCCCTACAGCAAACCGTTCGCGACTAATTCCACAGAACCATCTGTCACCAAATTTGTCTGAAATATTCCATTTATTTGCATAACACATGACACGTACACAGACAATCACATTCCTTTTCAAATAGAGAGAAACACTCAGCAATTGAACTGAAAACATATGAAACTAAATCAAGTCGCTGATGATGTAGTGGTCCACTCGCCTGACTTTTGAGCGAGCAGCGTGGGATCGATTCCCGCACTGTGCCCTGTGACTGGGTGGCATCAAGTTCCTTCTGCCAGGCGGATGGATGAAACTAAACACTTACAGGATGGGTAAATATGAGGGAAATCATACATAATACAACCTCAGGATATGACCTTGCACCAATGCAGTTTTTTTCTTCTTTTTTTTTTCCTCAGGAGAGCATTCAGTTCTCAGAACAGCTCTGCTTTTTTTTTTTTGACAACACAGGAAGGTTTTCTCTTCTGCAAGCAAAAATGCAGCGAAAACTCATTTGCAAAGACCTTGCTTTTCTTTACAATAGAGTACATGATCAAAATGTACATCACAATACTAACACTGGTCTGCTCAGACGTGTCTGTGGAATACATCCCAATAAATTGCTTTTTGTTTTGGTTCATGACAAAATGTGGAAAAGTTCAAGGGGTGGGAATACTTTTGCAAGCCCGTAGATTAATACGTTGGGGCCCTATTTTCATGAACATTGTCAATCCTGGGGGTGGTCTTGGCGCCGGGCACATCTGCGCACCAGAGGTGGCTTAGAACGGTTTGGGATATTTCGAGAATGAGCACAGCCTGGCGGATCTGCAGGTGGGAAGGCTGCACCGCTGTGGGAGCGCCGACTTAGGTTGCCGCCAGTCAAGGCGACTCCGCTCATTCCCTTTAAATGCGGCGCCAGTATTTAGACGTGGTCCAAGTAGGTGTAAATTTAGCTCAACTTTCTGGCAGCGGATTGTCAAGCGAATCTCCGAGGGCACTTGCTCGCTGCGGCGGAATGCGCGTAGAGCGGTCCTGCCAACTTGGCAAACCCCGCACAAAAATCAGGACCCGCCGGCATTTGCGTCCACGAAAATAGAGCCCTCGAGTGTCCGTGTGCAGTTTTGTTTAGCGGATGGGAGCCTTGAGAGCAGCGTCGACCTCCTCCTCCGGCTGCAAGACGTGCCACTGAGCCACCGGACGGCGGGGATTGGCCAACATGTCGGACCAGTGGCGCAGCCCCACGCCAGAAGCGCCGTAGCCGATCCAGCACTTGCCGATGGGGTCGTTACTTCCCAGTTTGTCGTAGTCGTACACCGTGATGATCACCTGCACTTTCTGTGTGGGGGTTGAAGACAGAAAAGTGTTGAGTGACAATTCCTGAAGAAAGCATTTTGGTCGGTGACATAGTTGTCAACCTGGCAGATAATAATCATCTATGCATCCATTTTTTAATCTGCTTCTCCCCACGAGGGTCGCGGGCTTGCCGCAGCTTATCCCAGCAGAAATGTGACTTTTAAATCATACAGGTACACGGATTGCATCCCATTTCATTCAAGCGCCTGTCCTAATATTGGTTGGTTGGTAGGTTGGTTGGTTGGCTGACCCACCTGGATCTGGGAGAAGGGGATCTCAAAGCTGAAGCTCTCATTGAAGTATGGATTCAGGGTGTTTTGTTTCACCGATGTCTTTTTCTTCTTCAGCCGCTTTCCGTTGTGCTGAAGAACCACTTTAACAAACGGATCTGTGGACGAGAGCAAAGTCGCATCAAAACAATCGGTGACGCTGTTGATTTTCATCTCGACTACCCTGTGTCTGAGATATTTTTGTTTATCCGTACTGCTGGAGCCTACGCCGGCTGTCTTCGGGCAGTAGGCGGGGGGGACACGCTCAACTGGCCACTAGCCAATCGCGGGGCACAAACAATCAGTCGCACCTAGGGACAATTTTGAGTGTTCCATTAACCTGTCATGCATGTTTCTGGAACGTGGGAGCAAACCGGAGTACCCGGAGAAAACCGATGCAGGCGCGGGGAGGACATGCGAACTCCACACAGGAAGGCCGGGGCCAGAATCGAACCCACAACCTCTGCACTGTGAATCCACAGTGCCATTTTTAGTGATGTGTTTTTTGTGACGTAGAAAAGGGAGCTTTGGGTTTATGGGGTGAGGGATAAGGGTCAAAGGGTTAGGGTTAGAGGTTAAGGGTGAGGGGTTAGGGTTAGAGGGTTGGCGTTAGGGTTTGGGGGTTAGGGCTAGGGGGTTAGGTTTAGTGGTTCGAGACTTAAAGGTCAAGGTTAGGGGGTTGGGGTTAGGGGGTCAGGATTAGAGGTTAGGGTTAGGGGGTGTGTGCTCACCAGACAGTCCTCCAACGTCCATCTTTTTCAGGTTCTTGGCTTCCATGATGTTCACAGTTAGCTTGCCAGCAGTCGGGACGTAGCGGAGGGAAATGCAGATGTCTCCAAGCTTCTCTTGCTTCATTTGAAACAACAACAACAAAAAAGCGTTCATTCATTTCAACGACATTTATCTTTGGGCTGTGGTTGTTTTCGCCCTTACTATTTTCCATGCACGCATATAAAATTATTCATAGCCTGTGTGACGTTGACACTGATTTATTGCGGGTATGATTTGCATACTTTTCCTGGATTTTTAATTGATGGTCACTTCATGCGGAGAGAAACGGTCAGTGTACACAAACCTTGGAGCAGGTTTACAAAAGAAAGACTTTTTTTTGTGAAATGACTTTCATTTTCTTGCCTTTTTGGTTCCTTTCGAAAAGGTGGGCCAGTTTTAGGTGATCAGTATTTTTCAGGCTGTCAAAATTTCTGCACAAGCGTTCAAGAGCCAAAGTCACCTCCTCTTTCTCTCCTCCAATCAGATCCCTCCATTCGTGGATGGGCTGGCCGAGGTCCACGGTGTTCATGGGAATCTTGATCTCACCGATGACGTCGTGTTTGCCAAAGCGGTCAAAATCGAACACCTGCAGCACCAGCGTCTGACCGCCCAACTCCGTGTAGGGTATCTGGACGGGGGGGGGGGGCGAGAAGAGCGACTTTCGAAAAAGGACATCGACAACGTGAACGCAACGCCAATGGCGCACCTTGAAGATGAAAGTCTCATTGAAAACAGGACAGAGGTTCTTGCGCTGGACTTTGGTCTCAAATTTTTTCTTCTTGTCCGGCAACATGTAGACTTTAACGTAGGGGTCCGAAGTCCCGCCCATGTCCATGGCTGCCAGGTCCTGAGCCTGCAGGATGCCTACTATCAGCTGGAGAGAAGGAAAAAAATGACGTTAGTCTAAAGGTTACAGACGGGATGCGTGTCCAAGTGTGATCCAAGATCGCGGGGTACCGCACCTGGTTATCGGTGAAGTTATAATCCAAAGTGTACTCCAGTTTGCCAAAGTTTTCTTTCTCCTCCTCCTCTTTCCCTTCCTCTCCTTCCTAGAAGAACCACAGGGAGACAAGTGCTCGAAAAACATTCAAAGGTCATTTCGAAATAAGGAGCGGTATTGCTCCGATTGTCAAGGGTGACGTCTCAGAGGTTCCAACGGGGAAGGCGACTTTTCCCACCTTCTTTTCGTCTCCCTCCTCTCCTTCCGTTTCCTTCTTCTTACGTCCTCGCCCAGCCTTCCTTTCTCTGACCTTCTTGGGCTTCTTGCCCTTGTTGAAGCATTTCTTGTAGATGCAGAATCCCATACAGGCAACGAGCGTGAGGACGACCACCACGATGGCACCCACTGCCCACATGGGCACTTGAAAAAAAGGAAGGAGGGAAGGTTAAGGTGCAAATACGGAAGGATGCTGGCTCGTCCCAAACTGAGGCCCATTGCCTGAAGCGCTGTTTTAGTCGTCAAATGGAAATGTAACCGCAAATCACCCTTTGTCCTCACTAGTAAGACAAATCTTTATTTTTTTTTTTTTTTTAAGAATATCAGACACAATAAAAATGAATGTCAGCACAGGGAGAAATGGGAAACTCCACAGAAGCGTGTCTGAGATTCCGAGCTCTTAGCCTGTGAGGCAGATTGCGCAAACCGTTGTTTCACCGTGCTGCAATCTTTGATGCAAATCGACAAATAATGCCGTCATTTATATTTTCACATCGTTTGTTGTCGTCGTCCCACCCAAGTTACTGTCTTTCCAGAAAAAAAAAATATTCAAATGTCCGAAGAACACGCCAAAACGTCTGCGACTACAACAACAGAGTTTGTGGGCTACCTAATTCGGATTTGTGTGGAAAACAAATGCAACCTTCCTTAAAGGGGCCATATCATGCAAAATCAACGTTTTTTTTTGTTTTGTTTTTTTTTTTTAGCGTATAGCCACGTTAAAATGCTAATGCTCTCACCAAAAACAGCCCCAAAAGCGTTGTTTACCACCACCACCCGCCCCCACCCACTCACATGGCTTTACAATGTCAGGAAAGGGGCGCGGCAGCTACTCCATCGCGCAAAAGGTTAGAATCATATTCCTACAATTGACTGCGGAACGCTTAGAATAGCATGATGCAGGCCCCTTTAAAAAAAGTATTGAACGGAATGGTACTTACTGTTGAGTTTATGATCTAGAGGAGAGCATAGTGGTCAGATGACAATTAGAAGAGACAGAAAAAAAAAAGACAAAAAAATGGGAAGTGAGATGATGCAAGATGGATGGATGGATGATGATATGGCAGCCGTTTCTAATACTGCGCTATTTTGGACCGGTCACTTGTAGAGGCATTTGGGGGTGGTGTCCATTTGCGCGTTCACTTACTCGGCAAGTGCGTGAGCTCGTTGAAGAACTTGTTCTTCATGCTTGCAAACTGATGATTGGAATGGTGAGAGGGGGGCGGGGGCGGCGGGGGCTCCTTGCTTTCTTCCTCCGCTGCCCTGCGGGACCGCGCCCCCGCGACGCTGAGCAACCGCGACATTGCTCTGTGGAAACACAATTGTCACGTTGCCTGATGAGAGCGGACACAAAAAAAGCAGGGAGGCGGGAGAAGCAAGATGTGCAGAACCAAACGTATTCACAAAAACACTGACAGGGGTACTCTGGGAAAACCAAATCAATAACACTAACAAAGTCCTGAAACCCCCAATAAACCAAACAGCTATTACAGGGTGGGACGGATTCCATTTTAAATTGTCTGTGTGAATTTCAAGCTGTGAGTTGAGCCCTCACACCATTCAATGTCACTCTCAATAATGAGTCACAGTCGACATCCCAGCGTGTCCCTGCGCAGCAGTGTAACGAGATTAAGTAGCTCCGGTAATCCCAAAATCCCCAGATTGAAACAAATTAAACGCCATTTTGTTTGTTTGTTTGTTTTCTCTCGCAGTCTCCTCCCCATTTGGACTTTTTCCCCCCTCACTATGTTCCATGAATCCTTCTCCCTCGTGACCAATCACAAAGACCGGCCTCATCGCTTGCACGTCAAATTTGAACATTCTGTCATGACATCTGATGCGCATCTCTCGCAATTGCAGAGGGGATTAGATGCGTGTGTGAGTGTGTTGGGATTGCGCCACAATCCTGTTCACTTCTATGGGCCAAAATGTTCAATTGTATTGATGGCGTGCTCAAAGGTAATACTGTGTATTTGTGACTGGCAAGGTCACAGAGGTCTTCATTTTCCAATTTACATCAGGCTTGAAGAGCATCACGGCCTCCTGTAAACCACTTTGACTAATCTGGTGCACTTTGAAAGACATCCTTCGATGTGCGTCAAGTCTCGTGTTTTTCCTCACGCTCGGTTGATGAATGAACCCAATTGAGTAAAATCCCAAATTAATCATGGAAGACAATATGAAGACAAAAAACTCGACAGTAAATCCCCGTGGTGGTGGGTTCTGAAACCATTTCCCACCATCGGGACTCAATAAACTGAACAAATATAATATGCGTTTTCTTGTAGCAATCACCAATTTAGCTTTGTTCAAGGAACAAAGGATTTTTTTTTTTTGGCGTTTTCTTGTAGCAATCACCAATTTAGTTTTCTTCACGTGAAGGATTTTTTTTTGTGTGCTTGAAAGGCAATTAGCTGTTTATTGGTATCGACAATAATATACAGTTGAGTTGAGACAATGTCATGTCAAGTTCACCAAATAACTATCAATATAAATAGGACTCACCTATCTTTGTCTCAGTCCTCGGTTCTTTTGCTTTTATGATGCATCCAAAAGGATGGCGCTCCGATCCAACAGTGTTTGCTCAAGAGAAGTGCTCGTCCGCAACTCTCTCTCCCCTCTCCCCCTTCCTTTTATTTTAATCTCGTCATTATCCCTCACTGCCAACTACTTACGGGCCACACTGCACAACACGTTTGGTCTTAAGGCTCTAATTTCATGTCGGATGTCAGAGAAAAAAATGAAATCAAGGAAATCCCTACTTACCCTTTGAACTGACTCTTTGGAGAGGAGCAACTGCAGGCTGTCTCTCGTCTTCAACCACGCGCCCAGTGCCAGCTGACCATGCTGTCGGGGTCATCGTCTGCAGAATTCGCGTTCATCTAAAACAAAAACAAAACGTCATCATAATACATTAAAAATCATTCATCACAGACCGTGATTATTGAATGTATTGCTGTGCGCAGATGACAAAAGCAATTGTTTCGCTCGTCAAACAGTTTTGCTGTGACCAACCAATTGCGATGGAAAACGAATTTTACATCCGATCCGGTAAAAGAGACGGTGCCATTGGCAACTTGAAGTCATAGGCTAGCACTCTCATTTGGAAGGGCCTGTGCAAATTGGGTGGACGCACGAGTTGGACAAAAACAATCCACATCCAGTCCCTGAAGCAGACCGAGCAAGGGAAACGCTCCAAAATGAAAATAGACTTCCGAGGAGAAACAAATCGAATTTTACGGGTCAAATGGAGTGTAGGTGGTAAACGGATAGGTCACAATGATTCTGTTCAGACCAGTAGAGATGTCCATGACTGTGCGCCAATGCTCAAATGCCATGCAACCATATTTAATTATAATGCATCTTTCCTGTTGAGTTTTTCTTTGGCAGACGCTAACCCTGCCCTCAGGCCACCGACAGAGAAGAAGGCCAAGGGTCGCTCGCGATGCGGTGACGTGCAAAAATTGACGACAAACGTGTGAAATAGCGCCACTCTGTGGCGAGACCATTTTTGGTCACCAATCCTGTTTAGTGGGCCAAATTGGAGCACATTGCCTACCTTGTGAGGTAGAGGTGGCAAACTCTGGTCCTGGAGGGCCGCCATCTTGCAGGTTTTCCTTCGCTCCTTGTTGCAACACACCCGACTCAAATGAAAAGGCTCGACATTTGGCTTCTGGGGACGATTGCTTCAGGTGTGTTGCAACAAAAGAGAGATGGAAAACATGCAGGAAGGCCACCCTCCAGGACCGGAGTTTGACACCTACTTGAGGAAAATCCAAAGGCCCAATCATTAGATGCCTGTAATGTTTTAGATTACCTCCCACTCTCAAAACATTCAACAGAAACACCCGTTAAACCCATTTCCACTATCATGTTTTCAGGTAGGGTTCAACCATATGAGATGTGGTTGCTAAAGCCAGCGATTGACAGGCACTTAAAATCTAACAATGCACAAGACACCACATTCCAGCTCCAATCTGTTTATTCAGAATACAGCATCTCTACAAAAGCCACTTTTATGCATTTGACAGCATCACCATTATCCCACGCAAACCCCACAATATGTGCTATGTTAACCAAAATGAAACGGGTTACTTAGTAGAGAATGCGAACATTGTGGCCCATTTTGATGGCAGGCTTTCAAAAATTTAGCTCTTGCCCCCCAGAGAGTGCTTGTCAAACACGATTGCTTCAGGTGTGTTGCAACAAAAGAGAGATGGAAAACATGCAGGAAGGCCACCCTCCAGGACCGGAGTTTGACACTTACTTGAGGAAAACCCAAAGGCCCAATCATTAGATGCCTGTAATGTTTTAGATTACCTCCCACTCTCAAAACATTCAACAGAAACACCCGTTAAACCCATTTCCACTATCATGTTTTCAGGTAGGGTTCAACCATATGAGATGTGGTTGCTAAAGCCAGCGATTGACAGGCACTTAAAATCTAACAATGCACAAGACACCACATTCCAGCTCCAATCTGTTTATTCAGAATACAGCATCTCTACAAAAGCCACTTTTATGCATTTGACAGCATCACCATTATCCCACGCAAACCCCACAATATGTGCTCTATGTTAACCAAAATTAAACGGGTTGCTTAGTAGAGAATGCGAACGTTGTGGCCCATTTTGACAGCAGGCTTTCAAAACTTTAGCTCTTGCCCCCCAGAGAGTGCTTGTCAAACAGGTACTCTGCCAACTTGTTGTTTTGGGCATCCATGCGGCTCAAGTTGGTGACGTAGTCTCCCAACTTCTTGATAGCCTCCACCTGCTCGTTCAGGAAGTGGCTTTCCAAGAAGTCGCACAGCTGCGGATACAAGAAAATAGGTAATGTTTGGAAAACTAGTAGCACGGCAAACGAGTGCACACCAAGTTGCAGGAAAAACGTACATGGGGATCCACATGCTCAGAGGCCAATTTGTGCAGGTCGAGGAGAGCCTGGTTAACATTTTTCTCCAGCTGTAGGGCAGACTGCATCGCCTCGAGTCCACTTCCCCACTCATCACGCTCTGGTTTCTGAACAAAAGCAAAAATGGTAATTTTTGAAAAATCAAATCGTGATTTGAAAGCTTGGCATGAGCACACAGACCTTGATATCCTGGAGGAAGATGCGTCCACCTCTATTGTTCTGGAAGGCCAGCAACTTGTCAGCGTGTTCCCTCTCCTCCTCACTGTTCTCCTTGAAGAAATGGGCAAAGCCTGGGAGGGCAATGTCATCTCGGGAGAAGTAAAAGGCCTGGAGATTTAAAACAAAAATCAGCCTTTGTCAAGCTACATGAGTCATGATTCAAAACAGCCTAATAGTACCCAAGACTAACAGTAGAAAGAGCTCAAGTCCATTCGTTAAGTACCGGAAGTACGATTTTCCTTAATAGTGAAAGGACTGGGTCACACGAGTAGGAGGCCTATTTTACTTGTACCGTTTTCCCACAACTGTTGATTTAAAAAAACCTTGAACTTCGCAACTATGGACTCCAATCGTAAGGAAGTAGCGCCAAGATATCAACTGCAATTTTACCGCGATAGTAAAATGTTCGACGAACGCGAAGAAATGTTAATGACCGTTCGGGTCGGGAGACAAATCCCCCCCGCTATTGAGTACAAGGACTTACTGGCACACGGAAACCAAGGACATAGAATAAAGGCGCAACTTGTTTTTTTTTGGGGGGGGGGGCACGGCACTCTTGGGTAGCTAGCAAACAGCAGACCGGAAATGTACTCTTGGGTCACTCAAAGGAGCATTTGTTTGTCAAACTGGTCTGGTTGAAAAGCGAGGTGGGGGGAGCCACGTGATCCACTACCGTACTCCTTTTAATACTAACCATGGCGAAAACGGTATTCGAAGCCGTGTTTTGTACACACTTACCATTGAAGTGTAGGTGTAGGAAGCGAAAAGCTCCATGTTGACCATTCGGTTAATGGCGGCCTCGCAATCGCGGTGGTAGTTCTGACGCACTTGAGACTCCATCTTAGCTGGCGTGTTTTGTCTTTTCTTACAAAAACCAAAAGAAAGTACAAAAATAGAGCTATGCGTGGAGGTACGCTGCTGTTTAAGTGAAAGAGAGTTGGCGCCAAGGCAAAAAAAAAGGGACGAAAGAAGTTCCGTTCAATCACTGTTGAAGCAAGAACTTCCAAACGACTCTTCCGCTGTGAGACAATAGGCGAAACACCTCCTATTTATACTCCTTGATGACGTCTGCAGATCACATCCGCCAATCGCAGCTCTCGGAAGCACGTGACAATTTCCTAGTGAAAAAAAATTAACGGCGTATCCGGTTTTTTTTGTTTTTTTTTTTAATGAAACAAAAATTCCGTGCATCTAGATTATGGAAAGGCCAGAAGTTCACTTATTATTTCTGTAAATTGTATGATATTTCAACTATGACTGGGGGGTAAAAAAAAAACTCATCCCAAGATCCGTTACCAAAATGTATATTTTGATGTTATTTATTCCTAAATTACATTTATTTTGTTGAATCAACGTAACGCCCTTCGTGGAAACAATAACACGCTATTAGCATAAATGAATACATTTCTTGGATTTGAAACTGTTCATGATGATGATATCTGTTGGGTGTACTGTTCTGTACGGTTTAATATAATAACTTTAGCGCTAAATTGGAGTAGAAGTCATATTTTAGTTTTCGTAACATCAAGTCTTTGAAGCAGTTCCGAATTTCCAGAAATGTAACCACTCACTGGGTGCCTTGTTAAATTATCTGCTTTCTAATGTTTTGACATGTCTTGTGTGGAAACTTCTTCATAGTTGATAGCTTGGTAGGCATACAACTGCCCTTTCACCAGTTCACAATTCGCACTGCAATTGCATCACTCCTATCGAAAATATTTTTTACCAGATCTGTGTTGATCACGAATCATTGTTGGCTATAATGAAAGTATGAAAATGTGACCTTGCGCATTCCAAAGACTCAACACAATTAAAGTGTCGCACAATTGCTCATTTGATCAGCCGTAACTCAAAAGAACAAGAATGCCCAGACTTGAACCCTCGTAATTGCTGAGTCACGGCTACTCAGCAAGCTAGTAACCACCCCGCGGTTGAAACAGTTTTGCTGTGACCAACCAATTGCGATGGAAAACGAATTTTACATCCGATCCGTAAAACAAACAAAAAAAAAACAGTCCCATTGGCAACTTGAAATCATAGGCCAGCACTCATTTGGAAGGGCCTGTGCAAATTGTGTGGACGCACGAGGCTAAAATCGACTTGGACAAAAACAATCCACATCCAGTCCCGGAAGCAGACCGAGCAAGGGAAACGCTCCAAAATGAAAATAGACTTCTGAGGAGAAACTGAATCGAATTTTAAGGGTCAAATGGAGTGTAGGTGGTAAACGGATAGGTCACAATGATTCTGTTCAGACCAGTAGAGATGTCCATGACTGTGCGCCAATGCTCAAATGCCATGCAACCATATTTAATTATAATGCATCTTTCCTGTTGAGTTTTTCTTTGGCAGACGCAAAACCTGCCCTCAGGCCACCGACAGAGAATAAGGCCAAGTGTCGCTCACGATGCGGTGACGTGCAAAAGTGACGACAAACGTGTGAAATGGCGCCACTTTGTGGCGAGACCATTTTTGGTCACCAATCCAGTTTAGTGGGCCAAATTGGAGCACATTGCCTACCTTGTGAGGTAGAGGTGGCAAACTCTGGTCCTGGAGAGCCGCCATCCTGCAGGTTTTCCTTCGCTCCCTGTTGCAACACACCCCGATTCAAATGAAAAGGCTCGACATTTGGCTTCTGGGGAAGATTGCTTCAGGTGTGTTGCAACAGAAGAGATGGAAAACATGCAGGAAGGCCACCCTCCAGGACCGGAGTTTGACACTTACTTGAGGAAAACCCAAAGGCCCAATCATTAGATGCCTGTAATGTTTTAGATTACCTCCCACTCTCAAAACATTCAACAGAAACACCCATTAAACCCATTTCCACCATCATGTTTTCAGGTAGGGTTCAACCATATGAGATGTGGTTGCTAAAGCCAGCGATTGACAGGCACTTAAAATCTAACAATGCACAAGACACCACATTCCAGCTCCAATCTGTTTATTCAGAATACAGCATCTCTACAAAAGCCACTTTTATGCATTTGACAGCATCACCATTATCCCACGCAAACCCCACAATATGTGCTATGTTAACCAAAATGAAACGGGTTACTTAGTAGAGAATGCGAACATTGTGGCCCATTTTGATGGCAGGCTTTCAAAAATTTAGCTCTTGCCCCCCAGAGAGTGCTTGTCAAACAGGTACTCTGCCAACTTGTTGTTTTGGGCATCCATGCGGCTCAAGTTGGTGACATAGTCTCCCAACTTCTTGATAGCCTCCACCTGCTCGTTCAGGAAGTGGCTTTCCAAGAAGTCGCACAGCTGCGGATACAAGAAAATAGGAAAGGTTTGGAAAACTAGTAGCACGGCAAACGAGTGCACACCAAGTTGCAGGAAAAACGTACATGGGGATCCACATGCTCAGAGGCCAATTTGTGCAGGTCGAGGAGAGCCTGGTTAACATTTTTCTCCAGCTGTAGGGCAGACTGCATCGCCTCGAGTCCACTTCCCCACTCATCACGCTCTGGTTTCTGAACAAAAGCAAAAATGGAAATTTTTGAAAAATCAAATTGTGATTTGAAAGCTTGGCATGAGCGCACAGACCTTGATATCCTGGAGGAAGATGCGTCCACCTCTATTGTTCTGGAAGGCCAGCAACTTGTCAGCGTGTTCCCTCTCCTCCTCACTGTTCTCCTTGAAGAAATGGGCAAAGCCTGGGAGGGCAATGTCATCTCGGGAGAAGTAAAAGGCCTGGAGATTTAAAACAAAAATCAGCCTTTGTCAAGCTACATGAGTCATGATTCAAAACAGCCTAATAGTACCCAAGACTAACAGTAGAAAGAGCTCAAGTCCATTCGTTAAGTACCGGAAGTACGATTTTCCTTAATAGTGAAAGGACTGGGTCACACGAGTAGGAGGCCTATTTTACTTGTACCGTTTTCCCACAACTGTTGATTTAAAAAAACCTTTAACTTCGCAACTATGGACTCCAATCGTAAGGAAGTAGCGCCAAGATATCAACTGCAATTTTACCGCGATAGTAAAATGTTCGACGAACGCGAAGAAATGTTAATGACCGTTCGGGTCGGGAGACAAATCCCCCCCGCTATTGAGTACAAGGACTTACTGGCACACGGAAACCAAGGACATAGAATAAAGGCGCAACTTGTTTTTTTTTGGGGGGGGGGGCACGGCACTCTTGGGTAGCTAGCAAACAGCAGACCGGAAATGTACTCTTGGGCCACTCAAAGGAGCATTTGTTTGTCAAATTGGTCTGGTTGAAAAGCGAGGTGGGGGGAGCCACGTGATCCACTACCGTACTCCTTTTAATACTAACCATGGCGAAAACGGTATTCGAAGCCGTGTTTTGTACACACTTACCATTGAAGTGTAGGTGTAGGAAGCGAAAAGCTCCATGTTGACCATTCGGTTAATGGCGGCCTCGCAATCGCGGTGGTAGTTCTGACGCACTTGAGACTCCATCTTAGCTGGCGTGTTTTGTCTTTTCTTACAAAAACCAAAAGAAAGTACAAAAATAGAGCTATGCGTGGAGGTACGCTGCTGTTTAAGTGAAAGAGAGTTGGCGCCAAGGCAAAAAAAAAAGGGACGAAAGAAGTTCCGTTCAATCACTGTTGAAGCAAGAACTTCCAAACGACTCTTCCGCTGTGAGACAATAGGCGAAACACCTCCTATTTATACTCCTTGATGACGTCTGCAGCTCACATCCGCCAATAGCAGCTCTCGGGAGCACGTGACAATTTCCTAGTGAAAAAAATTAAAGGGCGTACCGGTTTTTTTTTGTTTTTTTTTAATGAAACAAAAATTCCGTGCATCTAGATTATGGAAAGGCCAGAAGTTCACTTATTATTTCTGTAAATTGTATGATATTTCAACTATGACTGGGGGGTAAAAAAAAAACTCATCCCAAGATCCGTTACCAAAATGTATATTTTGATGTTATTTATTCCTAAATTACATTTATTTTGTTGAATCAACGTAACGCCCTTCGTGGAAACAATAACACGCTATTAGCATAAATGAATACATTTCTTGGATTTGAAACTGTTCATGATGATGATATCTGTTGGGTGTACTGTTCTGTACGGTTTAATATAATAACTTTAGCGCTAAATTGGAGTAGAAGTCATATTTTAGTTTTCGTAACATCAAGTCTTTGAAGCAGTTCCGAATTTCCAGAAATGTAACCACTCACTGGGTGCCTTGTTAAATTATCTGCTTTCTAATGTTTTGACATGTCTTGTGTGGAAACTTCTTCATAGTTGATAGCTTGGTAGGCATACAACTGCCCTTTCACCAGTTCACAATTCGCACTGCAATTGCATCACTCCTATCGAAAATATTTTTTACCAGATCTGTGTTGATCACGAATCATTGTTGGCTATAATGAAAGTATGAAAATGTGACCTTGCGCATTCCAAAGACTCAACACAATTAAAGTGTCGCACAATTGCTCATTTGATCAGCCGTAACTCAAAAGAACAAGAATGCCCAGACTTGAACCCTCGTAATTGCTGAGTCACGGCTACTCAGCAAGCTAGTAACCACCCCGCGGTTGCATGCTTACTTTGTGTGTGCGCGTGGGGGTTCAACAGTGGTGACTCATTTCTTAAAAGTCTCGTATCAAGTCTTCAACTCATGAATTTGCTGTGTCATTGTCATGACTCGGCATTCTGAAACAGAAATCGGCCCTTCCTGTTTGGCATTGAGGGGGAGGGGGTCTTGTGAGCACCACATGCCTGAAATTGGGGAAATGACCTCAACACTCGATGAGGCTAGCTAAAAAGGAAAAAAACAAGGATTGCACAAGCTGTACAGAAACTAGATGGACAATGCACTTTACATTCAATGCAAGTCAGGGAGCAGTGGTCCCAAATGCTCATATGATGTTTTGCCCTACTGTAACATTTGACACTTACATTATCAAATCATTTCTGTCTCCAAGTCACAAAACAGGAGCGTCGAGTTTGACCTCCCCTGACCTGACTCTGCCATCAGTGACATCCTGTTACATGATTAAACATACAGTAAAGTCAGGGCTACATTTTTATTAATTCAAAAATTATGTATGACAACGTAGTATCTTTTAATGACAGGCTTTTTACAGTAGTTAGTTCACTTTCAAATGTTTATTTCATATTGAACCTGGCTTGTACAGTACAACCTGACCGCCAAAGTGTCATTTGGTCATCTTAATCATCTTAACTCTTCCCGCTGTCTTTTTTATGCCGTAGGGATCCATACACTCTTCCACTGGACAGCATTTCTCCAAAACTCCTCCAGAACGGAGGGGCGTGTCCAATCTCGGCCGCGATGGTTCCCGTCCTTGTCCGTCTGGCAGAACAGGCGCAAAGTTTTTAGCGGGCTGGTGCAGGTGTGCTGGAGGTACTGGCAGCCCTGCGGCAAGAGAACACGATGGCGTGAGCTGTCTACCTGCACATTACGGACGATGGTTTATTGCCGCCCGTAATGTGGAGAGGCCGCTCGTATTTTCAGGCCCTCGGATTTGTCGGAGTAATGCTCACCTCGCTGTTGCCCCAGTACCAGATGGCCTTGATGACACTGTGATTGGCCAAGGCCTTTGTCAACTGGTCTCTCCTTCCCGTAATGATGTTCACCAAGCCCGCTGGCAGATCTGAAGACAGGAGCACCTGGAGGCAGAGCAATATGTTACACGGGAAAAGCAACGTACACCGGAGCCCATCCCAGCCGTCTTGGGGCAGTCGGCGGGGTACACCCTGAGAGGGTTGCCGGCAAACTCACAGAGCAGCATGAATTAAAGTCTTGTATTGTTCATTTCTAACAGGGAAGGTCTGCGTACCCAACAGAAGAATCGGTTGTCTCGCTTACCTGAATGATCGCCAATGCTGGCAGTGGATACTCCGGACTGGGTACCATGACGACGGCATTGCCAGAGGCGAGGGCTGCTCCAAGAAGTGTTACGGTGGACAGAAGGAGATGCTCGTCGGGAAGGACCACACCCACCACTCCCAGCGCTTCGGGGATGGAGAGACCGGTGCCAGCCTGCGGCACGGGCTGAACGACAGCAACCGCGGCGGATTTTAAAGCCGGTACGCATCGGGAGACTTGAGAAATCCGACACCTCAACCGATTGAAATCATCACATTTCTAATATTGCAAAAAGTATGAATTTGTATAACATTAAAAGCTTCACCAGAGTTCCGCCGTGAACCTTGTCACAGTAGGCGGCCCAATCGCTGAGCCTGGCGATACTGAGCTCCACCTCCATGTGGGCCTCTTCCATGGGGAGGCCAGTTTGGCCACAGATTGTTGCTGCTAGGACCTGCCTTTTGCCTTCAAGGCCCTTGGCCAGAGATAGAATGTGCTGGGCCCGCGCCGGTGGACTCTTTTTCATCCAGCTGAAGGAGAAAAGTCACAATGGAAAATAGGCAGATCCTCCGGAAAGATTACAACCACGGCGTGCTTGACAACAAATCTGTTGTGTCTCTATTCATCGGTCGATAGCAAATGGGCAGGATGAGAGGCTCTTCTACCGGATGTTTGCCGCTGTGTCATGAGATTTGTCTTGTGTAAACGACATGTCTTGGCTCAAGAGATGATGTTAAGCAATGCTTGAGAACACCGTGTTTGTGATTTTATCATCAGACAGCAGATTCCGGTGCTCAGAAGCTATCGACGCAGTTTTTTTGAATTCGTTCCTCGGAGTCATCATCTCAAGTTAGACATTAACTGGTAATAAACCCAAACAGCCAGAAAAGTTACACAATATACCAACTAAGCCAAAAAAGTTACACAACATGCCGACAATTAGCTTCACCCCGCGCAGGTTTGCTCTTTGAGCCTTGACAGAAGATGAAATTTGGCAGCACAAATCGGTCATGTTCACCCGTTCACCTTTCCAAATCGAGAACCGGCTCGTTCATCTTGGCTTTGGCTTGAAAGGGAGAAGGAAAGAAAACTTTTTCGTTGGGACGACAATACACAAAACAAGAGCTTGTGAGGAGACGACCAAACAAGATTTAGAATTCAAAGTCCTAAAAAAAAAAAAAATCAACTGAACTCAATTCAATTCAATTCTGTTGAGATGCACCTGTAAATAACGAACGTGCACTGTGAAAACGTCAACATTATGCGGCCTTGAAATACCCCAACAGGCATCGGCTTGTTTGTTTGAGTCCATGCTGGTATCTCACCCTGGCTGAACTTTGATAGCGGCCTCCACAGCATTCCGGACATCTTTCTGGCCTCCATCGGGACAGTAGCCCAACACGTCGCCGCCCCCTTGAGGACGCACCACGACACTGGCGCCAGACTCCGATTTACATGCCTTGCCAGCAACAAAGTGCGTGTAGGACTTCAGGGTACTGATGAGGAGAGAGAGAATCATGAGCAAAATCACGTCACATTACGTTCGTGATTCCGTGCTAATAAGAACTACATTCAAGCAAACAATTAAAAGAGAGGGGAAAAAAACACACCCGGCAGTCTGATCCGGAATGATAACCGGGGGCGGGTCAGTTCCAAATTTGGCGTAGTCCAGGGCGACAGGGGAAGCACGAGGGAGAACCGAGGAGGAGGATGGCCGCAGAAACTGATACAAACCCTGAAAAAGACAACCACGATTGTTTCGGCTTCAAATAAGACTGATACCGCCAATCTATGTTCACCCTCTTTTGTTTGGGCAAAATGTTTTGTTTACTTTGTGTAGGAGTCAGATTTAAACTGTCTTTATGAAAGAAATCCAACAACTTAAAGTTGGAGTACAAGTGTAACAAACTAATGAAACGAACCTCCTGCCCTCCATCAGTGCACGTGCCGCTGTCTTTGTGACCAGAAACGGGTAGACACGGATCAGACAGAGGGTGTGAATTCACCCACACTGAGCCCACAGACAGACTAAAGAGAGCCAGAGGAAAAAAAAAAAAAGACAAACATTATACAGTGGCTTTAATGAGATGTCAAATCCATCCATCTATCCATTTTCCGATCCGCTTATCCTCAAGGGTCGCGGGAGGTGCTGGAGCCGATCCCAGCCGTCTTCGGGCAGGGGACATCCTGAACCGCTTGCCAGCCAATCGCAGGGCACACAGCGATGAACAACCATCCGCGCTCACACTCACACCAAGGGACAATTTCAAGTGTTCAATCAGCCTGCCATGCATGTTTTTTGAATGTGGGAGGAAAGCGGAGTAACCGGAGAAAACCCACGCAGGCCCGGCGAGAACATGTAAACTCCACACAGGGAGGAGGCCGGAGCTGGAATTGAACCCGGTACCTCTGCACTGTGAGGTCGACGTGCTAGCCAATGGTCCCACCGGGCCGCCGCATCTCTCCACAATATGGCTGCAAAATATCTGTATTTTTTTCCCAATGTCATTTTTTATTTATTATTGAAGTCGCAAAACACGTAACGCAAAGTGGCGAGGGAGTACTGTCAATGTTTACTTTATAATATTGTTCATGTATAAATAAGCAAAAGGTCAAATACATGCGAAGAGAAAGCCATCCTTGGTGGCGGCAAAAAGGGAAAGAAAAGGAAAAAGTGTAGCTGTGTGAATGTGCGTGCCTCTTATATGTCTCCAGAGCCAGAGTGAGGTCTTCAGTCCAGATACAAGCCGCTTGGCCGTGTGGACTGTGATTCCCTGTGGAGAAAACAGAGCGTGAGGGTGGCTCAAGCGGAAACGTAGCTTTCATCCTCACGCGTGGTTTTCCACATCGACGGCAAAGAGGCATCTTTACCCAGAGTCACTGCCTCTGTGTTACTTCGGAAGGTCACAAGAGGAAGCAGTGGCCCAGGAGAGGGCATGACCACACACGGCGAGGAGGGGGCGGCTCCACACAGCACCGTCGGAGGATACTGTGTACTCGAGGGGACGGCACAGGACTGCACCAACTGAGGGGCGAGAAAAGCAAAACAAAACCGAACCATGACACCTTCATTCAACGAGCCATACGGTATACTGATGGCACTTGAAACGCCGCTAGCGCAAGTTCTGGTTGAAAAGTGAACATGCCTCAGACAGAGAAATCTAATGTGTGAAAGGGGCTGAGCAAATGTGTTATGACCAACCGTGGCCCCCTTGTTTTGAGCATCCTGCACCGCAGTCTCCACGAGCACCCTGACGCCATCGTCGGGAAGCGACACACATTTCAAACCTGCCATGCGCAACCTCAGACGGGCCATCACGCTGTCCAGTACGCTCTCCTGCACGCACAACACCCAGTGCGCCTGCAATGAGGAAGGAACAAGACTGTTAGCAAGAAAATAAAAATGCATCCAAAACTGACAAATGCAGCGGCCACTTGGCTCACTTCTTTCTTCTTCTTGAAGGCCGTCTCTAAAACATCATCTACTGCGCTGTTGATGTCAGCAGATTCAAAAATGATGATAGGACACGTAGCGCCAATGTTCGGGGAGACAGAGACAGGAACACCCATCCCTGCTGTAGCTTTACACAGCTTCACAGCATCCTAAAGCAGGTTAAAAAAAAAACAACAAATACCATGGCTCATTGATGTTTCCACAATGCAGGTTGGATCCCTTCCTTCTGTATGCGCACCTGCTTGTTGCCACTGTAGGTGACGTAGGCGATGCTGGAATTCTGGGCCACATCGGCGGCCAGTGACATGTCACCGCCAGTTAAGACATTGAGGGCTCCAGCAGGCAAGCCGGCGGCCATAAAAAGCTGAGCCAATAAAAGTGCCGGAGGGGCGGTGCTTTGACCGGGGACCACCATGACAGAGTTGCCTAAAGGGGATGCGTATTTACGAGGAACTCAACAACATATTTGAATTGATCAAATATGAACAACAAAACTTGGCTTGAATCACGATGAACACGGTAGTAAGTATCATGAAAGTGGAGTCTGTTTTTTGTTTTTTTTTTTACCCATGGCCAGTGCTGGTAAGACTTTGAGCATCAGGGAGTGGAAAGTGCAGTCATCAGAGACAACAACTAAAACCACACCTGTAAAACAGGAAGAAAAGAAACCTCTATAGACTGCAGCACGTGTCGACGGAAAGCACCGACCGGCTCACGTACCCAGTGGCGTCCAGTTGGCAACAAGAGCGTCTCTGAGCTGAGCCGAGCCGCTGTAGTACTGCAGCAATCGGACAAGGCTGGAGGAAGAGCAGGAGGCGCCACACAGGTCACACAGCTCGGCCACACTCTGGCCATGCTGGCCAAGAGTGCTCGCCAACCTGAGGACAGGTGACACGCACCCAATGATGCATTGGACTGCTCAGGTCGACAAGCATGCATAAACATTTGCAGAATCTTTTTTTGCGCTGAAACACCGTTCCTTCACCCTGTTTAGGTTCCTTGGTGTATTTCGGAGTACCTGAGCAGCACCTTGGACCTCTGGTAGCAGGACAAGCCACTCCAGGCCTCAAAGCCCTTGACAGCAGATGATGCACATTGCAAAATATCGGCCTGCAGGGCACACACCGTGCTGCACACGAGAGCACCTAACACAACAGAATCAGTTTTGTTGCATCATCAGCTTCTTCTTCACACACGAAGGCATATTTGTCTGCCAAATTGCTATAACAGCTACCTGCATTAATTTTGCGACACTGTCAACTCAAAGCTTTCACAAGTGTAAAGTTAGGGGGATTGTCAACCTCTGTGAGGCTTTGGAATCACTTTGTGGCTATAAAGGTCAACATCATGCGCCAGCAAAAGCCCAAGCTGCCGTGAACTTTGTGCGGTTGTCGGCTCCAAACCGCAACTCACCTTTTGAGTCCACCACGGAGCGAGTCTGCCTGTCGAGCGGACGGACAAATTGGCCGGCGATAAACAGACCCAAAGAGCAGGAATGACTATCTAGCCATGCCTGCGGAAGCAGAGGTAAAGCACACAGTGAGTGGATATGAAAAGTGAGTTGGGCAAGTTATTTGGGTGCCCTAAGGCAGCATGGAAGATAAAACCAACTTTGCTTTCCCTCACAAAAAAAATACTTTGCGCCCCCTCGAAATCTTTGCATGTCAAGGTTTTGACGAGAGGATGCAAAGGGTGTCCAAACTGTGGCCCAGGGGACATTTGCGGTCCACCATTCACTTTTCAGAGGCGCAATTGATTTCAAAGTGTTGAATAAATGAATCTCAAAGAACATCCTTCCACTCTTCTCTAATCGGCCCTCAAATGAACACCCCAGCCTGTTGTATCTGGTGGAGGAAGACAGGAAATGCAGATTCAGGACAAAGTACAAAACCAAAGACTCGAGTTTAGTATTTACGTTGACGTTTCAGTGAAGTTCAACAAAGTCGGCATCCCCGTGACAGTTCATTACAAAGTTATTTGCACAGTCCAGTCAGTCACATGGTTGCCTTGTGAGTTAACGGTGAACGAAGTTCACGTGGGTCCAAGAGTCTACCAGTGGCTTGCACAGTAAACGTTAATAGAAGACACATGAAACATGCATCTATATCTTGAATTTAAGAACAGCGGCAAAAAGCCCAACTCTCGTTTTAGGTTTCTTTTCACTGATAATAATCATTTTACCCGTGCAGTGGCGGTGCTGGAAGTTGCGGCAGGTCCGTACTCCATACTCTGAAAAATGTCGTGTACAGTCTTTGTGGTGGTGCCGGCCATAATAGTCGCTGCTTAATGGTGTAGAAAATATCCACAATGCCCGTTAATTCGCTTCTGGGTGGCTTCAAAGAGCCAAATCTTTGCTTGAAAGCACCAACGCTGCCTCAAGTGGGACTCGAAAGGAGGCCAATCGTCATAGCAAAAGTACGACTTCGCAAACACGCCGACTTACAACTTGATGCGAGAAGAGTCACTCCTGTTACTTCCGCCTTCGACCACAATTTTTGTGCAGTATATTTGCTGTATAAATTCCTTAATTTGAGAGGTTTAGATGTGTCAATTGCTTTAATTGACTCAAAGAATTAAAAAACTCGTGTATTACTGTACAGCTAACAGCAGTTTGATTATTATTAAACGAACGCAACTGCTTAACAAATTGGAGCAGACAAGGCTGACCGCAACCATCAAGTCATACAACTGAGACAGATAAAGAAATTATAATACAGTCGTGCATGGAGTTGAACTCTACGTGAATGCAATGAAACATGATTTTACAGACCCAATGGACGATTAAAAGCCCGTATTATGGTTTCGAGACGGAAAGGTTTTGTCAACGTACCGCGCATGCGCCCTGAGAGGAAAAGCAGAAATAGTGAATGATACGCGGTTTTCAGCTGACTTGGCTCGTAGTGCAAACGGGAGCTTGGTTGCTTTCCAATATTGATGGGATTTGACATAAAATGCTATCGGTGCACTGATTAATAAAAAAACGACACGCCATTCTGGGAAAATGCCCCGGAGAAAGGTAAGGCATTTCTTTGCTGCAAAGAAAAGCCTTTAGAACAGATTGCAAGCTGGCTCCCATAACGTCATCGATTACGTTATCCCATTTAGGATGCAAACTGAAGCTGTGTGCAGTGACCAGTGAAATTAAACAACACACATTTAGTAGCTGTTAATGTGCTTTGAGTACACTTTGAGATCTCGTTATTGGTTAATTCATAGGAGCTGCTCTAATTTGCTCATCGCTTTCGCAAATTTTTATTTCCCGGTTAGTTAAATTTGTTGCTGTGTTTCTCGTAAAAAGGCCGTTCGCCTTTCGACCTGTTATTTACGCGAGTGCGTTGATGCTGACCTCTGCTGCCGCTAATACGACAACTTCACGTTTGGTCGGAAGGAACAGACTGTTTTTTCTGTTGAGGATGGTGCGACCCGACCGTACCAAAACAACGCAGTGATTGGTCAGAATCCCGAATCGCGTTGTGCTCATTGGTTCGGCTTTAGAGAGCACCGCCTCTTCTCTCTTCTCATTGGTCATATGCAAATGTGCTGGGCTTCCTTGTTATGAAGTGTCAAAAAAGTGTGCGTCAGAAGCGCTTTCGTGTTGAGTGACGTTTCCTGGGTAATTGGTCAAAGAACATATGATTGTTTAGTAATCATTTTAATCATTCTTTGAATCAATAAATATCTCAACAACATAGAATTAACCGGTCACATTATTAGGTACAACCACTCAATCTAACAAGAGTCGTACCAAGATTCTGTTACACATTTCTTGTTGTACACGAGGTAATATTGTGTAATAATGCTCAGTTTGGATTGACACTGTCGAAGAGGTATTCATTTAATTGCTTCTACGAATAGTTGAAGTTAGCAGTGGTGGAATGGACTAATATAATGGCATTATTGTACCGCATGTAACATCGTTATTATTAGAGTAAAAATTCACATTTCGCTTATTGTTTTTTAGAGCGGATGGAATCTAGGGAACGTGATCTCAACACATCGGTCCCGCTACCCCAACCCCCACCTTGTGCTTGGTTTTGAGTGACACTTCATCCTCCATTACAGCGTCGCCCAGAATTGTCAGTTTCGGCAGCTTGCATTTTCGATAAATGATGCTTGTTTTAACAAAGTGGCACATGTTATTAGGATCACTCCTATCATCTGATTTGAGCTGTTCAATATCCGTCTTTGGTGATTAGGTAAATGTGATTATTGACAACTTTATCGCGTGGAGATGTGGAGGATATGATGCTCCTCCCCGAGGATGGGATCTTTGTTGGATTATCCGATGGTAAAGATATATCTATAAAAAGTATAATTTTTAAAAAAACACGCCGAAGTCTGTCGTTTTTTTCCACTTTCAGCCAGGACACTCATTACAGTTGTGTTTTTCGCGCAGAGGACCACAGGCAGCAGCTCGGACGGGACAGAGGACTCGGATTTCTCCGCCGACCTCGAGCTCGCCGAAGCGGTCGGGAGCGCGCAACGACGTAATAGCGCGCGCCCGACTCGCACGTCCCTCCGTCTCAGCCGAAGCACAAGAGGTGCAATATGTTTGCAAGATTTTTTTTTTTTTTTTTTTACTATGTAGTCACAAAATTGCTTTGGGGTTCAGTCGTAAGATTTAAGTCTTTCAATTGCAAATAAAATGTCCATGCATTTTAATAATTTAAAATTGAACATAGATTGGCCGATAAAGTTGATCTCTTAAATTTAGGGCCGAGAAGGTTTTCGTGCCAATCCTGTATTTCCTGTAATTATGACATTAGCACAGCGTTAGTAGGTCGGTTATTGATAGACCTTGCCAGCCGCAGGAAGGGGAACTGCGTTCTAAACTGAGGAGCCCAAGTAGTGCTGTTCTATGCATACAACAGTATTTTTACGCCAAAGTAATCTTTTACCTCTACTTATGTGGCTGGGAATTGTAACCAATGCATTTATTATCGAGAGCATTTTGATGTTTGTCAGTCCTTGACAAGTTCAATCTTGCATGCATGCACTTGTGTTGATTAATGTGCACTGTCCCAATGAAATAAATAGATAAATAAATAAATATCAATAAATGTACTGCACAAGCCACGCCTACCAAACAACCACTACTTCTCCAATTTTGTTTGCTTCGTTTTGACGAAATGAAATATAGATCACTTCCATGTTTTGTCTGAACACTCATACAAAAGTCAAAGTAAAGCTACATCAGTAAGCTGGAGGGATATGCGATTATTGCGATCGTACTTTGTAGTATTGTAGAATTTCCTGAGCATGATCATTTTTGAAAAGACGGTTTGATGTATTTAAAACATGATGACGATTTACGTGAACATTTGTTCTCATCCCTCTTCCAGAAAACTCCGGCGCCGCACGAAGCGGTTCTCCCGCGCCAGTGGAGACGGCAGCCTCCGCGTGTTCCTCCAGACGCAGGAGCACGCGGAGCCAACAGGGGGCGACAAACGCCACAGCAAAAAAATACCCACTGCGGCAGGGCAGGTTATCCGGCTCAGATAGCGAGGTTCATCATGGTGAGCGTCAACATAAAACCGTCTGCCGTTCATTTCTCACATACACAGGACGCTTTGGAAATGATCCACTTGTCGAAGACACACGGCAAACGCTCGTCAAGTTCACCGCGTTAATGGCAACATGAAGGTCGAATCGACCAAGGGGGAAAAGGGGATGAGGGATAGTTATGAGTCGTTATTTTTCAAACAAAAACCGTTTGAAAAAGAGAAAGGAGCATCATGCTAAAGGAAAGACTAAGGGCTGCTGGTAATAGAAGTTGAAAATGAGGAACCATGGCTGAATGGCGAGGACGAGTATCATGCAGTAATTGTAGCATGCTGTGAGTTCAGTCTGTGATCACAGCATGTTCCTGACATAGAAAAAAAAAAAGATGAATATGTCATCGTGAATATTTTGTCTCTCTATTTTGTCCTGTGATGAATGACTCAACTAAAAATGTATCTAAAATTCTTTTCACTTGCTGGAATTTGACATTCTACATACGTGACTGTGTTTCTTCCAGAGGAAATGACGTATTTTTGTGAAATCTCTATGAAATCTGCACAGTCATACATTTTCGAAATTAATTTCAAATCCATTTGTTGTAGTCATGCAAAATCACTGAAACTGTCACTGTAAAAATATTTTGAGACAGAGTGCACGCATATGTGTTTTATGGCCCGGGCAACGTTTTAAATTGCACAGTAGAAACTGGTACGTATGATTAAGAACAATACCTCACAACTGTCATAAAATGCAGCAGTCGATCAAGTGAATAGGTCACATTTTGTGCCGAGTTGTGCGTTCATCAGACGCGAGTGCCCTCGCTGAGTTATTCAAAGGATTTTATTTAAATTTTATTTTTTACTTTACTTGAGGGTGCGGGGGGGGTTCATGGGAAATGCAATGGGTTTTTGAAGAAATTTGTGGTTTAAAAAAATCCCGCCAATCCCCACATGCATTTCAATGCAATTATATGCATGATTTTCGCTATTGGCGGGCCAGTCCAGTCCTTCTCCTCATTGGAGAGGAAATGACTGAAAGACAGCACTGTGTTGGTTTTGAGACAAGTCTGATTGGACACCATTAATCGCCTCCAATGGAATCCGTGCTCTGTATTAAATATAAAATGAAAGATTAACCCCGCCATTGGATGTGTATATACAACTTTTTAAGAAACCTGTTTGGAATAGTAATGGAAAGTGTCACCCCTGGCTTCTTCTCAGTAAAATGAGTTTGATATACTGTGTCTTTTAGCACTGCAGGTTTCTAGTGCCAAAACCCCCCGCCCCAAAAAAAAAAAAAAGCTTTTTTAATGGGTGAGTCCAATGTGACTGGAGAGGTCGGCGAGAACAAGGACCACAGTGTGTTCTTTCATTTGCTGGCCAAGGTCTCAGAGCTCTGCACCACATGCGCACTCACATCAGTCTTGACTGTAGGATTCCTCTGCTTGGTCTCAGCGGTGTGAAGTGCATCCTTATGCGGGGTGCCAGTGAATTATTAGCTTCGTTGACTGGGGCTTCTCGACCTTGGAATTAGAGAAAGAACAAAATAATGAGACCTCGAAAACCTTTACTGAAGTCGTGTGCTAATGTAAAAACATGGGAGGCTAACTTTAGCTTACCGTGTCGCCTCCTGCACTGGACACTGCGTCGTCCAATTGCAGTCTTCTCTCCAAGATCTATGCAAAGATTTTTTTTTCTTTAATTACAATTTAGGTTGAGGAAAAACATGGGCAAGGGCAACTTTTTAGAATGCTATTCTGATAACGTGGAGTCCAGGTTTAGAACATACCGTTGCGAAATCACCATTTGTTGTGTTTGTACTTCAAGATATACAAATATTACTTTGGCGCCTTGTGACATCTTGGTGCCAAGGAGCTGTGTTGAGGTGAACTGAGGTGTTCCATGTAGACAAAACTAGTGCTTTGATGCTCTCCTTGGGTGTCCCAGAGACAATTCGGAACCCTTTTCGGTGGCGGTCAATTATTTACAGATTTTCGCAATTCAAGGCAGGGCGAGGTTCCTCTCCCTGGCGACACGCAGTAACCATTTCGATTTGCCTCCGTCGTCTCCGTAGGCTTGAAGCAGGCAGCGGACCACGACGAGACCCCTCCCCGCACGCCGACCGGCAATGCCCCATCTTCGGAGTCGGACATTGAGACGCCCAGCCCTGGGAATGACCTGGTCTCTCGCGGAAATGATGTCGTCGTTTCTCAAGAGGAGGATGAGAGATTGGCAAAGGAGCTGTCGCTCAAAGAGGCCGCCGCTCACGACCTCTCTCACAGGCCCAAACGGCGGCGGTTTCACGAGAGCTACAACTTCAACATGAAGTGTCCCACGCCTGGATGCAATTCACTGGGTAACACATTGATTATTTGAATGCGATCACGTCCACAGGCTGTGCTCCTGCGTCGCGACGACAAGGGCTTTTGACCACCTTCTCTCACCCGGTCTAGGTCACCTGACAGGGAGACACGAGAGACATTTCTCCATATCAGGGTGTCCTCTATATCACAACCTGTCATCCGATGAATGCAAGGTATTTGCACGCACGCAACTATCTTACCACGCGAGTGAAGCTCTGCCGGTGCAAAGGCAATTTTGTGACGTTTTTCTGACAACTGGCGATATCAAAAAGTACGTTTTGTTTTTCCTCCATCAGACAGAGTGTCTTGTCAAATTACACGACTCACATAAAGGTAGGGATATTTGGCTTTCGGGTGAAATTGATGGAAAATATATAGATCATGAAAGTAGGACATTTAGAACGCACTGGTGATGTCATCGCAAACAATTCATTGAGACAAAAGTTAACAACAACCATGCACCTGTGATCGGTCAAAGCAACCAGCCACTGGCGAACATGTCACCAGTGGAAGAAAAACGGAGAGGAGCCAACAGGGGGTCACATTCAAAGTGTCAGGCTTCAAAGCCTCCTGGAACGCATAAGGGGGAGAGAGCAAGGTTTGGTGCTGCGGGGCTGACTGTCACTTGTTGTCATCGCACCGTGTTGATGTTTTGTCAGGGCAAGGTGTCAACTCGCGAGAAACAGGCCGACGAAAGGACGCTGTCTCACCGTCAGGATGAGAATAGACATTCTGCGAGAAACCAGGTAAGGGGCCGGCTGAAAAGTCATCTCCCAATTCTTCGGTCACATTCTTTTTTTTTTTTTTTTTTTAATGCTCAAATGAGATGCGATATGAGCAAGCATTAAATAATCATCCAGTCCGAAAGTCAAATTTAATAAAGGCTGTGGAGATCACACGGCGCGGGAAGCTATTGCGTATTTCACTGGACATTCTACTCGGAAGCAGCTGCTCACACTCCACCAGCGGAAGCCTCATAACATTTTTCCTTCCTGAGGCAAGAGCGGACCATTTATTGTTCTGTCAGGGACATTGCACCTCGCGGTGATAAACTAATGAACTGTGCTCGTCGCCTCATCAGATAGTTAAGAAAGTAGACTTTTGTTTTTGTGGCGTCGTCGAGACAACAAGCGAATCTTGTCTGGTGAGAGCAGCAGTAAGAAAGAACGTCATGATTGTTTTGTTTCTCCTGGGTGCCTTCAGCAGTCAATTCCCATTGGATTGCTAATGCTAATCAACAGAGGTAAAGCTTTTTTTTTTCTGCACAATAAATGAAAAAAAAAACATGTAGGCTTATCCTTCATGTTGTCTCCTCAAACGACCCCGCCTTCGTCACGTCCCGGCTGGATTACCGTCTTGCACTCTACTTAGGGGTAACCTCCATCAAGCGTCTCCAGTTGGACCAGAATGCTGCTGCTCGCCTCTTGACTGAGCATATAACTCCTCTCTGCTACTTTTTTTTAAATTCAGCAGCCAATTAAACGGTGATCAATTTTTTTTCTGCCCAAAAAAACGGCATCGCTATCAGCCTAAAAAAAAAAAAACATTATCGTTTGGGCCTTCGATCTGAGCATCCAGGACATGTTGAGACCTGCCGTGAGCTGCTCCTAACCGTGGGTGATGTGTCAGACCCCAACAGAACGTCAGCTGCGCTACAAGGAGAAGGTGACGGATCTGAGAAAGAAGAGGAACGCTGGGCTCAATAAGGAGGAGAAGGACAAGTACATGGTTTGTGGATGAGAAATTTGAACAAGCGCGCGTGTTTGGGAGCATCCTAACGCTCGCCTCAACTGCTCAGGATCACCGTCAGAGCCACGGGATGAGTCGGGAGCCCCTGCTGGAGAACATCACCAGCGACTATGACCTGGACCTGTTCAGGAAAGCGCAGGCACGTGCCTCGGAGGACCTTGTAAGAGAGAGAACTCATCATCACCCTCCTCTTTTCTCTCCTCTCTTTGTGTGTGCGCGTGTTTTTTTTTTTGGACTCCCCTCCGCCCTCCCTCTCATCTGCCCTTTCCTGCCTTCTTCCTCTTCTTCTCACTTCGCCCTCCTCTGCGGCCTCAGGAGGGGTCGGAAATATATTTGCTAGATGCAATAATCCCTTTCGTTTTTTTTCTGCATCTTGTCGTTTCTCCCTGCGTCTTATTCCATTGAGAACCATTCAGAAGTCACACGATGTTGTTTTGACCCTTAAATGGCTCCCGATTTCCAAAGGCAAACTGACATTAAATATGAATGTGTCGATCGGGGCCTCCGTGGACACCTCCTAGTGTTGTGTCATCACAGTAATAGCCTTAATTAGCGGTTCATTCATGTTGCGTAATCAAATCTAGCACATAAAACCTCTCGGTTCCCCACACGTACACTCGGTTCTTAAAAACGAATATAAGGATTGGATCTTGTTTGCTTCCTTTCATTCATTTTTTTCTGGCATTTTCTTATGACGAATGATGATTTACAGCGGCAAGAGGACACTTGGTGTACACGGAGTAGTTCCGATGTTCCGGGCAGGAGCTAAGAGAGGGACGGTGGGGCGAGGCCGTTTCAAGATTTGAAAAGAAATAATAAAAGAACTCTAAAAAGGGACCCAGTGAAGGGATGCCGGAGTAGGAGTGATGTGCTCCCTCTTACGAGTACCGGTAAAGAGGCGAGCAGCAGCATTCTGGAGCAACTGGAGACGCTTGATGGAGGATTGGCTAACTCCAAAGTCAAGTGCATTGCAGTCATCCAGCCGGGATGTGACGAAGGCACAAATTCATGTTTCAAAGTGCTCACCAGAGAAAGGAGAGGCTTGACTTTAGCCGGCTGCCAAGATGAAAGAAGCCCGATTTGTCAACGGCGCCAATTACCAACAATGATTAACAAGGAAGGAAACAACCTCATTTTGCAACACTTGAGCAAGTGTTTCGATTTTCACCGCTACAGCATTCCTCGGAAATTCCCCGTCACTCTCAACTTGCGTCACGAGACGAGACAATTCCAGCGGACGGCGTTTTCAAGTCTCTATTTGGAAGCCGTACACATCTGCATCCTTCTTCATTGTGTCGCCGGGCGTTCTTTATGCCCGCACTTCTCATCTCCGCTGACTAACAGAGAGTTCTTTTCCATTCTCCCTTTTCTTATTCCTCTTCTGTCACGGCAACCTATTTCCCCGTTCTCTCCTCTTGTCATTTCCTTTCACGACCCATCTTCATCCTCATCATCCTCTTACCCTGGTCATTACAGGAGAAGCTTCGTCTGGCCGGCCAGGTGTCGGAGGGGAGCAACATGATTAAAATCATTGTGTTCGGACGCTACGAATTGGACACGTGGTACCACTCGCCCTACCCGGAGGAATACGCTCGCCTCGGGAGGCTGTACATGTGCGAATTCTGCCTCAAGTATATGAAGAGCCAGACCATCTTGCGCAGGCACATGGTACGACTCCTTTTATCTCCATCCAGCCATCCATTCCCCCCCACCCCCCCCCGGCCCCCAAATAAAAATACTAAAAAGGACGGGAGGGTGTACTGCAATAGAACTTTCCCTCTATTCAAAGATACAAAGAAACCATCCACCCATCCATCCATTTTCTAATCCGCTGATCCTCACGAGGGTCGCGGGCGTGCCGGAGTCTATCCCGGCTGTCTTCGGGCAGTCGGCGGGGGACACCCTCAGCCGGTTGTACTGCGCTGTCCGTCGTCAATAAAGAGCATTCCATTTTAGGGGCAAAAATAATTTCCTCCACTTTGTGCTGATCGATGAAGGCATCACATCCTCAACAAAGTGTTTGAAAACGGGGTCCCTTCACTACACTTCTTGGGGTGGTGAACGAGGAGCTGAGATTCAGCTGCCGTTTAGTGCAGAGCTGGATATACTCTGTGAGAGAGAGAGGGCTGTCGGCCACCCCAAAAGCTTGGAAAAATCCTCGAGCGTTTGCCTTGGCACTGATGAAAAGGACTGGCCAATGCAAACGATCGAGAATTGCTTTCTTGACTGACTTCAGCGCGTTTCAAAAAGTTGAAGGAGTGGCCCTTTGCGGCCCTCCAACCAACGTTTGGACACCCCATGGCCCAGAATCTGCACATATCTGATCTGAGACGGACAGATCAGCTGTCCCTTGTCGAGGCCAGCTTGACGTCACTGGAATCCCCCGATCAGTCTTCGCATCCGAATGGGTGCTTGCCTTCTGATCATCTCAACCCTCAAGTCAAGCTATTGTTTCATTTTTCGATTTTGCAGACCTTGGTTAGAAATTTGTTTGAAGGGTGATAGAAGACAGACTAGACCGTGATTGTCTCTCCTTTTCACGTCAGGCCAAATGTGTTTGGAAGCATCCTCCGGGTGATGAAATCTACCGAAAAGGCAACATTTCAGTTTTTGAGGTCGATGGCAAGAAGAACAAGGTAGGAAAGCCCAACACAGCCCCTCAAACACGTCCAAGAATGAAATCTGGAACACTACCCTCATTTTTGTTTGTTAGTTTGTTTGGAGCAGCCTATGTCAAACCTGAGAAAAAAGAGAAATGTCAAATCAGCATATCACAGTTGAGACATACAAAGTACCGGCGAAGAAGGCGGCAAATGTAATGGTTCACTTATATGGAGCCCGAGACGTGTGACATTTTGGGGTGGGGGGGTGGGGGGGGGCGACTACTTTGTACGCACAAACTACTATTAAGGTCATTGAATAAGCCTGGAATCTAAAACACAGCTATTGGAAACAAGAATTTTTAAATGTTGAGGTTTACAAAAAAAAAAAAAAAAAACGTGTTCTGATGATCAAAATAATGACGACAATGATAAATAGTCGTGATATTGTCTCATATAATATGTTATGAATGTGTCCAAATGCGTTCGATTGTATTCCAAACATTCTTCAATTGCGTCATCCAACATGAGTCGGAATCTTGAGTTCTCCACATGGATTTGATAACGGCACAATTTTTTCGGCAGATTTTCTGTCAGAACCTGTGCCTGCTGGCCAAACTCTTTCTGGACCACAAGACTTTGTATTACGACGTGGAGCCGTTCCTCTTCTACGTGATGACGGAGCTGGACAACACAGGCTGCCATCTGGTCGGCTATTTCTCCAAGGTCAAGTCCCTTTTCCTTTCGACGTTTTGGCTCGGGGCTCCGGGGGAGTGCGTTTTCTTTGCTCCGGGACTTCGCTACAGTTACCCATCGTTGACTCCTTTGTGTAAATTTTACAACGAAACTAAGCCCAGGCAAGAGGAGTCCGGGGCCACAAAAGTGGGCGGAGCCCGCGTTACCGCGCAAATCCGGCGCACTTCTCATGCTCATCCCGCTCTTGCGTATTGTTGCCATATTGAAGTGTCTGTCTGTGTTTGTGTAGGAAAAAAACTCTTTCCTAAATTACAATGTGTCCTGTATCCTCACCATGCCACAGTACATGAGGCAGGGCTATGGCAAGATGCTCATCGACTTCAGTAAGTTGGAACCAACCTCTTGCTTTGCGTGCGTGACGACAACACTCCCATTGTAGCATGTTACACTCTCTTCCTCCTTGTCCTTCAAGGTTACTTGTTGTCAAAGGTGGAAGAGAAAGTGGGCTCGCCGGAGCGACCGCTATCCGACCTGGGCCTCATCAGCTATCGCAGTTACTGGAAGGAGGTGCTGCTGCGCTACCTCAATAATTTCCAAGGGAAAGAGATCTCCATTAAAGGTCAGAAGCGGGTCCAAGTATAGACGCATCTCGTCAAAATCAACCGGCAATTGTGACTGAAATAATCGCTTTTGGGGGGAAAAAAATAAACATGTTTTGAGAGCCGGAATATCAAAAATAGCATTTTCTAAAATTGATTGCGAAGTTCTAGCCGCGCGCGCCTCGCACGGACGGCGGGGTGGAGAGCGAGTGACAAAGAGGGCGGCTCGGTAACTCGCCGTCGCCAAGCCAAGCAAGCAAGAAAAAAAAAAAAAATACAAAGCATAAGACGGACTGCCAGTTCAATCTTGCTGAAGGCATCAACGTTTCTACCGACCCGGCACGCTGCGGTGTTGGCTGGAGGAGGGATTTCCTTGGTCTTTCCTTCGTCACGACTCTTTATGAAAGCTGCTTGAGTCAAATGCACGGCACGCTCTGTGCCTTCCGACTTTTCGCCCTAGAAAAGGTTACGCCTTCTGGAGCCGTCATTTTCCGCCGCAAACCAATTTCACGCGAAGAAGCAAGCGCCAAGTTCTCGGCCGTCATCTGAAATAACGCGGGGCACAGCATTTCTCAGAAATGACACTCGGTGACTCGGAGCGGCAAATTTGGACCTCACACTTGTCGCGGCGCTGTCCGAACGCAACATCGGTAGCTCGCTTGACTGGTGCCAAGTGCAGCAATTTTTCCTCACAGTGGTGTCTTTTCTTCCAAACGGCTTCTGGAGCATGTCAGTGGCAGCGCGATCATTCGTCGGTGTTCATTGTTTCTTCCGCTTTTTTGCGTTACGGCTCATTTCTAAAGACATCACAATCATGACGGGCGGCGGCGGGGTGGACGCACACGGGCCTCACAGTGCAGACATGCAAAAACGAAAACAATGACTATGGATTGAAAATGAACACAACTCATCTTTTTTTTTTAAATAAATAATCCCTTTTGTCAAGTTTGCACAAGCACTCCCCACAACCCGAAAGGCCACTTCCTTGATTGCGTTTTAAAATCACACGCTGACCTTGAATCTTTCCGCTGACCTTGAATCTTTCCTCTTTGGACTGTTAGAGATCAGCCAGGAGACGGCGGTGAACCCAGTGGACATTGTCAGCACGCTGCAGTCCCTCCAGATGCTCAAATACTGGAAGGGGAAACACTTGGTTTTAAAACGACAGGTAAGAATGATCCCTCTGGTTGCTTGAATATGACACGGCTGACATTTTTCGGAGTTTGGTCCTGTTACCCGAGCCCCCTGAGCAACCGTGATGTCATTTGCCTTGCGTCTTTATCCAGTGTCCAAACTTGGATGAGTTTGCAATGAAGCAATAAAATGATGACGCCTCGAGAGCAAGCGTAACCGGACGTCCCTTTGTTGTAGGACCTTATCGATGACTGGAAAGCCAAGGAGCGCAAACGCGGTCACGGCAAGACCATCGACCCCACGGCCTTGAAGTGGACGCCGCCGAAAGGGACGTAGAGGAGCATCTTTACACACCCCCACTCAAAAAAACGGTCACATCCTCTCCAGCGACTCCGGCAAGCACACACGCAACATCGTCGCACTCGCGTCGCCGTTTAGAAACGCTTCCGGCGTCTGTTTCCCAAATCACGTCATTGTTTTGGTTCTCGCACTCATCACTCCACTTCCAACAAAGCTTCCGTTGGTTGCCTCTTTGGCTTCCGTTCATCATGGTCCCAGATGAAGCTCTCGGGTGTCCTCCCTTGAATGATTGTCAGCCTGAATAAGAACGGCGGAGAAAATGTAGCATGCGGTCATGTCGGGCGGGCGTGTGACCAATCACTGCTTATGCCTCAACCTCTTCCTTGCATTCCCCGATTTCTCCGGCATACAATGTGCGCTACTATTGATGAGCTCTTTTCCAAAACGTTGTAAATCTATTTTAGAGAAAAGTCTGTACACAATGAATGGCATGGGGGAGATTTATCTTTTTACTCTTTTGGAGGGTGGGGACGGCGGGATGGTGTTTGCTTTCGTTTTGGAAAAGAGGGCTTCAAGAACTCTTTTGTCAAGACGCCGCAGTGCAGGTTCAAATTGAGAACGTTCTCAATCAGAGTCACCGTAACCTGAAATCAGCCGGACTGAGCTTTGACTGGAAAATACTTGAAAATAATTGAGAGAAAATTCTGCATTTTACGAGTCATGTTTGAAAAGACGAGCGTTCAAAACGGCCAGATTGATGTAAAAAAATAAAATAAAATAAATACACACACACACACACACACACACACACACACAGGAGCTATTCAAATAAATACTTTTTGGAGTTACGTATCAAATGAGTGCATGCCAGGATTTCAAACCTACGACACCTGGAAGCTCTCGCTGCCATCGGCCTTATTTGGACTCGAGTACGTCTTTGATTTCCGAAGGGACCTGCCTTGCTTTGTCTCAGTGTCCTCAATGGGGCGCGTGTGCGAGCTTTTCGCGGTTTCCTGGCAAAGTTCTCAATATTTCATCATTTTCTACCTCTTAGGTTTCACCACTGTAAAAATGTTGAAATATTCCACATTTTGGTCCTGTTTGTTCCTGTGTGAAATATCTTGTTCATCTTTTTGATTCGATTTGTTGAAGGACGTTGTGTTATTTAAGTTTTAAGAATGTGTCGAGTGTAGAATAACAGTGGCGGGATTCTCCCATGTGAATTTGAAATATCGGCGTCAAAATATGTTTAGATTGGGAATTTCATGAACACTACTGCATTGGGAAAAGTCATTCACATTTCTTACCATTTTCCTGTAAAACTGGATTGACACTGCGAGTCCAAGTGCCGTATTCCAAAAGAAAGCCTTTTTTTTTTTCAACTAACATGACTTTGAGTAAAACGCTCCCATGAACAGGGTATTCAGTAATTGAGCTGCATGTTCACGCTGCACCGGTAGATATCCGATACATGTTGGATTTTTATCCGCATTCCAAAGAGGCCTGAGTCCAATCTGAAGATTTGCGATTAGACGTCAATCATATCGCTCTTACACAAATTCGCAGCCTAACACTTTCCTGTTGCTGTCGACGCAAAGAAGATGCAAGCGCAACAACAATTGTTCTTTTCAAAGCTTTTTCAAGGAAGCATTTGGTGTTTTTTTTTGTCTTGATTGGACTGACTGATTCTGGATGGACATGCAGTAGATGTTGGGACAATTTGGAAAGAGTTTTGAAGAGGTTAATGAACAAAACCTCAACCTAGCAGTTAGCAAATTGTCCTAGTTTGGCCTGCCTTAGTTTAGCATCAGACTCGTTTTCAAACGCTCCTTAGAAATAAATGGTTTCGGGATTCGGCCCGAGGGTAATGAGCAAAACGTTGTTCTCATGGAACAAAAAAAAAAAAACCACGTTTGTGCATTATTCTCTGAGTTGCTCCCGGTGCTATCGCTAAATTATCTGAACGTTTAGTGGTACCTTCCATTGTCTTGACATTCCGTATTGCGTCCTCAAATGTTTTTTTTTTACCCCACCGAACATGTAAAAACGATTCTTATTTATGTTGTCACTTAACACAGGGTCAGGCGGCGCGCGAGTTCTCCAAACATCGTGCCTCTCTTAACAAGCGTTGCCAAGGTTGAAATGCTTTTGTAGTCTAAATTGATTTTACCTGTTGGTTTCTGTGCCTCTCAAATGACAAACAATGGCCATGTTTGGTTTTGCAGCTCCGGACCAGCGGCTTCAGAAACCCTTTTTTTTTTTTTTTTTTTTTTTTTGCTTTGGGCATTGACAGATGTCGAGTGTGCTTTTTCATCCGGCACCAGCGACGACATCCCCAATTTCAAAGCAGCGCGCTCCGTTTTCATCGTGACATGCCACGCGGCGGCAGTGAAAGCTAGCTTAGCATCGAACATGTAGCTCGTGGACTTCGGCGTTAGCTTCCGCCTTTCTGCTTCCTCTTCAATAAACTCCTCATGAGGTTTCTGTGGGCTGATGTTTTCCATTTACAGAAGACCATGGCAACACTGCGCACACAAGCGAAGGACTGGCAGAATTTTGAATTCAGGAATTCTATTTTTGAAAGTGGCTATATTTGTGCACTTTAGAAATGAATGCAAGTTACATTGCCAGTTATGCATTTCTTTTTTTTTTGCCACTTGAATTAGAGGTTGCATCCCACTGGTCAACTTTTTTTTTCTCCTCAACATTCTATACACACCGTGATGACTACGTGAAGCATGTTTTTTTTTTTTTAATGTTTGCAAATACATTGGGGGGTGAAGCATTCAAATATAAGAAGCCACCCCTTCCATGCCTTGGCTGACTGTTTTAAGGTTGCTGTCTCGCTGTAAAAATGAACCGTCGCTCCAGTGTGCGGTCAAGAGTGCTCAAAAGCAAGTTTTGATCAGGATGTTTCTGCATCCCGCCGCTCAAAATCATCCCCACCGCATGATGTTGCCACCACCACCACGCGACGATATCGCGCCCCGGTTTGGTATTCACACCAGGGAGTTCGGTCTTTGTCTCATCGGACCCCAAAATGTTGTCTCTTGTGAGAAGTCCCTTTTGACCACCTCCAGGCGGGTTGCCCGGCGCATTTTTCATCGGCAGAGACGATTGCTCGACCGCCTCATTTCTCGGCCACCAAGCCGCAGTATGACAGCAGAGGTGATCCGTCAAAATCGGATGCGCCTGAGCTCCAGTTGGAGCATTGTTGCAAAGGATGGCAATACGTACACATGGAAATAAAATGATGTCTTTGTTGTTGTTTTTCTTAAAATACATTTCCAAGAAAAAACAACAACACTCCCTTGCATCATCATAGGGTGCCATGTAGAATTTTGAGGGAAAAATGGATTTAGTTCATTTCGGGATCAGCAAACTGCAAAAGATGGAAAAGGTGAAACCTAATTTCTGGATAGTTGTCCATGGTCTTGATGGAAGAACACCATTTTAGAAGGAAGAACACAGAACATTCAACATTTTTAACAAATGACCTTTAATTAAGATGGAATGAAAAACAATGCAAACATGTCCGAGGAATATGCGTACGGATGCCACAAGCTTTCGGTACAATGTCCCGGCCGCTAGTCATCATCCAGTCGGTTCACTGAAACCGATGGCAAGAATACATGACAGAAGTCAAAAGAAAATGCGATGTCTCCGCAGATGCCGTATCTCCTCGTTTGCATCTTTAATATGAATAGGAGTTCCACTCTTGCATATCTGGGAAAACACAACGGGAATAGATGGATACTTGTAGGACTTTAATATCAGTAGCAGCAGCTACGAAGTTAACAACAAAAAAAACCACACACGAGGTTTGCAATTCAACCAAATAAAAATCAGCAAGTAAGCAGCAGCGACGAAGGAACAAAAACAAAACAAAAAAAAAAAACACACACGAGGTTTGCAATTCAACCAAATAAAAATCAACTTAACTGAGAATTCCAACATTTCTACCTTCATCTAAATTTCTTCTCCCCATGAGTCCGACAAACATCTCCCCTTTATTTCCTGGGGACGAGAAAGAAAGCAAGAGTTAAAAAAAAAGAGAAGGATGACTCGTAAAAATAAAGCTGAGTAAACAGATTACTTTTCATCTCCAGACTGGTCGGATGGGATAGCTCTGGAAGATCGGAGGCACGCAAATGAGAAGTACAGCGTGTAACATATGGCTACAATAAAACAACAGACTCAAAGGCACTCGGCGTAATCCCCTGGAAGCGCGCTTATTATGACCGTGATTAGATTATGCCTTTGTTTTGTTTTTTTTTGTTTTTTTAATGTGCTTCTTTACCTAAGCTCCTTCCCATCAGGCCGTGGAACTGTTGCGCTTTAGAGCGTTTGATCAGGTCTGCCAGACGGATGGTTAGCCCCCTTTCTAGTGGGTGCTCCTACACACACACACACACACACACACAGAGTGGACAATAGATCAATGAACATGTGATTTGCCAAGTGAACTCGAAATGAACCTAATACAGGTGGATATAAAGATGGCAGTGGAGCTGTCTGGCGCTGAAGCACAGTATCATTGTGTACATGTCTAAAGGATGCAAAAGGCATCCAGAATTCTTCAAAACCCAAGCCAAATTTCTTTTGACCGAAAGGGAAAAAAAAAGTGTAACATCAGTTTCAATTCTTGGACTTTCATGGGCAAATAGGAGACAATTTCGAGCCGGTGAAGAGTTCGATTCCAATATTTTTACCACATTTGTTTTAGCTTTTTGGTTCTCTATGTTGTATCCTACGTCCCTGTTCAAATAAACATTTTTTTTAAATGAAATACAAGGGGAGTCAGTGCATCAAAGTAGCAACAAATGAAATAAGAAAGAGCAATCCAAGAGCGACTGACTGCAAGCGTTGTTACCTGCCAGTTTTCCAGCGTCCACAGTACCTCGCTGCCCTCCTCGCGGCTGCCGAGCGGACTTCCCAGTAGGCAAAGAGACTGCGTCAGCACCACCAACAGCACGGTGGCAAACTTTCCAGCCTCCATGACCACTTTAAGGCGCCGGTGGAAAACTCACAGGTGCCGCAAAAGGGACGCAAATTAGGAGCAAAAAGGTGCTTTTTCGTGGAAGTTGAACCAGAAGCAGGTCGCACCTTTATAAAGCATCTCTCGCTCCTCCCCACCTCCCTCACCTCACCGAGAGGAATGAATCCTGCTCCTTTTTTTTTCTTCTGTCCTCTTTGTGTGCGCATTGTATGTGTGTGAGTCAGCCATGACCACTCGGTAAATATCACCTTCCCCAGCACAAATTGTGGACTGATTGATGGTTGACGCCGGCATGACAGGCAACTTTTTAATTTCTACTTCTGCCCAATTGAACAGCTGTAACCAGAGGACCTACGCAATTAATGAGTGGAGGAACTATATTTTGAAAAACTGGATGTGCCGCTATCTCACTCAGCCCAAACACTTGTCGGATTTTAAATAATGACGCCAATAGATTAAAGCACTTGCAAAGACCGCTCCAATAATGTACAGCAGTGTCCCAATGTCATTTCTTTGGCAACTTAACAGCAGCATCTCTCAGGGAATTGTAATCCATTCATCCATTTTCCAATTTGCTCATCCTCACGAGGGTTGCGGGCATGCCGGAGCCTATCCCAGCCCTTAGTAGGTGGGGGGACACCCTGAACCGGTCGCCAGCCATCTGCAGGGCACACAGAGGCCAACGACCATTCGCCCTCACAATCACACCTCAGGACAATTTGCAGAGTGTTCCATGAGCCTGCCACGCATGTTTGTGGAATGCGGGAGGAAAACGGAATACCCGCAGAAAACCCACGCGGGTACAAGGAGAACATGCAAACTCCACACGGGAAGGCCGCAGCTGGAATCAAACCCTGCACCAGACGCACACCGGGCCACCTCAGGAATTGAAATGTTATGACTAAATCGAAACTGTCATTCAAATTCATCAAATGAAAGAACTTCCACACATGCACAGAGATGCCATGACGAGATTCTGAGGCCCATTTTGCGCCATTCATCCACACTCATCATCTCATGTCACAGCATAAAAATGCTTAGAAGGGTCTGTACACAATTCCAGGATGTTGAAAGCATCCGAGATCTCGTTAGGGCAGCAGAGTCACCGGTCATGTCGGCCATTGAGCATGTTTGGGATGAAATGGATCAGCATGTGCAACTGTTCAGGTCTTTTTGCTTGTGGCCTTTTATGGTGACCAGCAAAAGCAAAAGAATGGTGCTCCATAACGCAGATTCATAAAAAAATATATACACATATTTGACAGAACTAGGTCCCTGTATACACACCTAAGCACACCCACACACAAACACACCCACACATGAGCCACTGGACACCTCAGTGCATCTAAGAAACTCTGCCTGCATGTTAGGCAAAAACTTTTGTCATCCGCTTGTCTGACAACATCCCATTCAGTGTTGACCTCTTTGAAATAATATCGTTCAATTCACTGTGGACCCGTTTCGTATTTGTGCGTAAGTTAAATGTGATGCAAGCAGAACATCTGCCGTGGCTCATCTCACTCCAGAGATGGCGGACGTGACGCTGGGCAGCGACATGCTTCTCTGAGCAAGAACAGCAAAGCCGTTCCCTCCGTTATGTTTAGTCACTGTACCGAGATGATCGAGCGATATACGTCGTGATTCAAATGAATACTCCTGTTGAAGAGGGATGTCAGCCCTTCATTTGAAGATATTTTTTCATGACGTTCTTAAATAGCGCAAGAACACATCACACGCACCTTATTACGACGGGCAAAATTTGACTCGTGATGAAAGAAAGAAGAGGGAATCATTTCAGCATTCCGCATTACTTTGTCCAAATGTTATTTACATGTCACAATTGTGACGTTAATTGAGAGATAATTCTTCGACGGGGATTCAACTGGAAAAACACAAGAGAGCAGTATTTACAAAACAAAAGTAGGCAACATGCTATTTCCTTCCATTGCTATGCGGGTGAGTGTTAGCGCCGAGACACTTTCTACTCAGCGCCACTTTGATCCCGTCTGAAGGAAATCAAGACCCGGATGGCACAAAATTTCACCCAAAGGGCGACTGAAGTGATGGGCTTTGGTCCCGGTGGGCCTTGCCTTGCACATCCCATCCTCCGGACTTGCCCCCCCCCCCCCCCCCCCCCCCCCCCC